CTCAGAAACCATCAAACCTGAATGAAGTAGAGATGTTTTGTAAAGAAGAATGGTCTAAAATACCTTCAGCCACAATCCAGACTCTTATTAGAAGCCATAGGAAGTGTTTAGAGAATGTTATTTCTGCAAAAGGAGGATCTACAAAATATTGAGTTAATGTTTTTTTTTTGGTGCCCAAATTTATGCACCTGCCTAATTTTGTTTAACCAATTATTGCACACTTTCTGTAAATCATATCAACTTCATTTCATTTCTCAAATATCACTGTGTTTGTCCCCTATATGATATATTTTACTCATTTTTTAATCCAAAAAAGCAATTATTTGTAAAAAAAAAAAAAATCTGGGAAATTAAGGCTGACCAAACTTGCGCACTCCACTGTACAAACTTTTCACTTCCGATACAACACCGATATTGCTGCCTTGAGTATTGGCCAATACAGATATCGACTCGATATAATATCAGAATGCATCCGGCATTTTGTTTTTTTAGTGTGGAATCTTAAAACGTCTTGATCAGATCAAACAGTAAACAATAGTCAGACAGGCACGGGAACTGATTAATGGCCCAAATCTAAGGTTTGGGAAAGCTCTCATCTCCATGTCAAGGAAAACTCTAAGTACACTGGTTGGAGTCCTAACTGGGCACAACCTGCTCAACCGCCACAAAATGGTGATGGGACTCCATGACAATGGTCTGTGTGATGCCTGTGGCATTGAATTAGAGACCTCATTTCACTACTTAGGCCACTGCCTGGCTCTGAGTGGTCAAAGGAAAAGAATTCTTGGGGACCCCTTTATGGATCCTGAGAAGCTCAGAACACTGAGTGTTTCTAACCTTGTAACCTTCATCTGAGGGACGAGAAGGTTTGAATGAAGRCCAATGTGTATGGGTTACATATGTTTTATACTTAAACACTGTACAATTAAATAGAATAAATAATAAAATAGAAGACCCTAAATAAATTCAATAAAAAAGTGTAAAATAATTCAAGATCATTTAATTTATTTATGCTAGATAGAAATCCTGAGTGGAATGGACTGCTTCTATCACTGCTTATAGCTGTGATTTTAGATGCAGGTTGATCTAATCTTGAGATATTTTTTGTCTAATATCGGACCGATATCTGATATTGATATCAGATCAGGACATCTCTAGTAAAATTACAAAATGACCACCACCTGAATTGTTACTTTACAGATGGTTGTTCACTTGTTTGGCTGACGGACAATATTAAAGGCCCTGTCACACTAGACAACTTATGCCAACACTTATGAAAAATTTTTATGTCTAAATTGCTAATAAAAGTTGTATATTTAATCCATTTGTTAGAATTACAGTATGTACATGCCTGAAAGAAGCTTATAGTTGATTTTTTAAATTCCATCTTCAAAGTTGATGTCTTTAAAATTTTCACAAGTTGGCATAAGTTGTCTAAAACGTCATAGTGTGACAGTGCCTTAAGCTTAAGGGACGGTTGAATTTTTAACAACTTTAAGTTAAATACAGCCCTCAAGATGGATACCTGTTAGGGTAGTATTTCAATGGGTTGTGATTGCAGAGGCGTGCAACCTTGTTTATTGAGTTTTGATCATGTTCCAAAAATTTGCGGCACAACTCTTCTTTCAAAAATACTTACAAAGTCTTTGTGGTCATCTATAGATCAACTTGAACCCACATGAATCCAAGAAAAATGTCCGGGTCTAAAAACCACACTGATGGTAATCAGTAATTATTAAGAAAAACTGCCTATCTTGATATTAAAAGTGTATTCCAGCTAGAACAAAACATAAACATGGGGATGGCTGCCAAGGCAAGTACAAAACGAGCCTGATGGGGTAACAAAACTTTGCACAGGGACAAGAATATAGTTTTCGATGTTGCGCACAGGAAAAAAAAATGCTATGATTTTTTTTCTAAACATGCTGTTCCCAACATGGCCTCATGACTTGCTGGTCACTTGGTTTTAAACGCTCAGAGTTCAGTGAGACTGGAACAGAAAATGTGTGTATTTTCCATGAACTTGCCTTTTTGAGTCACCATCTAAACTCAGCACAAAACTTAAGGAAATTTGTGTTTGGKAGATTGYTGTTTTAACAACGCTTCTCCGCAATAAACCTTATACCATAGGAAAGTCTGTTAATTCTACTTATAAATGGTGCCACATTTGTAACGAACAAACATTGGTGGGAAGAAAGTAGAGCTGAGTATGTGGGTTGTGCACATAATTAATTTGCCAGATCTTGAGTTCCATCTCAATTGTGTTGTGTAACAACCTCAGAGCGTCATCAGTTGCCTGAAGGTGACACATCGCTAAAAAGCGTCCCTCCAGCTGATAYAATCCAGTGACAACAAATGAAACCCGTATCATCACAGAAACTAAAACGAAACAGTGCAGCGAGCACAACAAAAAGGTCAAGGTCTGAGCTCGTTTAAAACCTTAATGGGTTTAAATCAGACTAACCAAGCCTGATCCTAACAGCCCCACGGGTTTTCTTTACCAACAACCTGGAGCCACATGTCACAAAACACCCGCCTGTGTTCTTGCATGGATCTTTAGTGCAGGGAGGATTGACACAATGATGCAGCGGGTTGGTGTACAGAAAGAGAAATAAAACCAAAACACATATATTCCATTAAACATGTATAAAATTTCAGTTTGTGCACTCACTGAAAGCTCCTGTGTATGTTGGCTGGGTGAGATCTTTGGGCACTTTCCTGTAGATATCAAATCTGAGAAAAGGAAGCAAAAAGGGGAAAAGGAAGTGAGAAAACCAAATGCAGCAAATCTAAACATTACGTGCTGAGAAAACTAGCACATTCTGTACCCATCGTTGGGGCGTGATATTACTGAGGAGAGGTGGGATATTAGCTCTGGATGAGGGCCATCACAAACAGATACAGACCGGAGGCTGCGGCAAACAAACCATTTCACAGAGAAATGCCCCTTCCTCTACAWGCAGGCTCTGTTATGATCTGAGTGACCCAAAGCCAGAACATAAAGAAAACCCACTAACCTCTCTGTAATTATAAAGTACATCTCCTTTTGCTTTGCATTCCAAAGTTTAAAAATTAAAAAAAGACCTGCTAATGTTTAGATGATGGGGAGGCCACTCAGCTACTACCACATCAAAATGTAGCCGAATATCTGTAAAGTTAACTGAGCTGTACCCATTTTTTTGTTTGCTGAGGTTGGTCTTTGGGTTTCAAAATCTCATCAGTTATTGATCTACATCTAATGGTTACTTTCTGATATTTTTGTTAAAATCTGTCCAGTGGTTCATGAGATATTTTGCTAACAGACAAACATACACACAGGCACACAAGCAATGACGTCATCCCTGCCTTTCATGGCGGCAGGCAGTGATTACCTGGTTTCATCTTCTCATTTCTAAAGGAGAAAGCGTTCACTTTTGGGGCTCAAAAAGAAACTAAAACCTGCTGCTGAACCCAGAAACTATTAGTTCAGGCATATCTCCTTTTTGGGCAGTGGAACATTTTCAGGCTCGAACTCTACTGCCGGCTTCACAAATCCAACCTTCTCCTCTCTCACTCTTCTTCCTCATTTTTTGACCAAAGCACATCTGTTTACATTTCTTCCACTCAGAGCTAGCCAAGAAAGAAAAAAAAAAGGGAAAGAAAAGAATCCCAGCTGATGTAATGATGGGCGGAGCAGGAAGTGGGACAGGGTGTCCTGTTCTGTCCAGACTGAGCTGCTGCTTCTCGTTTTGCTTCTTTGTCATTGTTTTTCTTTTGTACTCTGCAATATATGGACTCCTGATTTCCAAACTTCACATTTTTTCTCCTCTACCTCACATTTCTGTGCTGTAGGAGCTGTCTGAGCAGGAGATTGGGTCTGACAGTTTTAGAGAACTAGCTGGCAGGGAGTCCAGGGCGTGGTTGCTCTGCGTCAGGACCGAACAGAAGTACTGAATGAACACATTTCCTCATGTGCAGAGGGGGAGTCATTTTCCCTCCTCACATCGTCACATCTGAGACCACCCAACAGGTGGAACATGACAACATTACTGTCATTTCAAAAACTTGCGAAATCTGTTATTTGTTGATTTTCACTGGTTTGATCCAGTTTAAGCTTTTATCCCCTTCAGGTGGGGAAAAAAAAACTGAAGTAAAACATGTTGGATTTACAAGAACGGTGTTACAATTGTGCTGTTGACGTATTAGGTTAGGTTGATGTACTCTGTGGCAATTGAACTGATGATGGGAGAAAATAAAATAAACACTGGGAGTTGGCAGAAACATAAAACAAATTTAGCCTCYTTTACACACGATCTTCAAACTGTATTTGTATAAAGCTAAATTAAATCCTTAAAATTTGGTATAATGCTTTTATGTGCCTATCTTTCACAATTTGAATATTAGATAAAAGAAAAAAAGACATACAGGAAAAGTTTGGGCACTTGGTTACTTTTATTAACCTTTTTATTTATAAAACAGGTTTTAGCTCTTTATTGGCAGATAATTTGTTTTGATGAGCTCTTGAAAAAGTTTTATAATACCTCCACATAGTGGAGTCCAGATACTGATAGTAGTATCTTTTATCTGTACTATTATCAACATTTTTAAAAGTGCTCTTACAAAATGCCCCAATACCAATATCAATATAGGGATACTGGTAAAAGATACTGGTAAAAACTGTGTTTTTAAACTTTAAAGTTGAAGTTCTAACTCAGTAAGTATTTTACAAATTTTTGTAATACACTATGTAATTATGCAAGTGCTGCATGAGAATGCTATAAAAAGATGGTTGGATCCCAAATATAGCCTTTGAGTTTATTTATTCATATATTAATGAAATATCTACTTTTGGAGAAAAAAAAAAGATTTTAGCGACCTGAGTCCTGTCTACGCCTCACCATGTGAATCTTCAAAACAAACCAAAGTTAACAGCTGATTACTTTAAAGCTGTCCCTGGAATTAAAAAATAATAATAACTAAAAACTCTCCGTGTCATGTTCTCACGTTCAGCTGAAACTGCACGTATGCACATCCGTATTTGTAGCCGACAGGGTTCCGACAGTTAAATTAAAAATGTGAGCAGAGAAACTAAATCTCCATCATCCGGTCGCTCGAAACGCGAGATGGGGTCAAAGAGCTCAGTGTGAACTGGAAATAGCCTCAGACACACGGTCTGGATATATTTACAAACAAGACACGACACAAACTTAAAAGGTAACAGAAATCTGTCAGATGTTTTACTAACTGCCTTTCAAACTGTGCTATACGACTTGATTGGGTATGATTCTGTATTATATATTCCTGTCCTACACACACCAATATATTCATCTGTGGAAAATAAAGTGATTATCATCTATTTACAGTGGGTAAAATAAGTATTGAACACGTCACCATTTTTCTCAGTAAATATATTACTAGAGGTGCTAATG